TCGTGTTGAGGAAATTTATATCTGATACATATCAGATATCGCATTTCCGTAGAAACCATTAAAAAATGTCTGAATCAGCGGATTTTGTAACTGCATTTGAATTGACTGAGAATGCTGTTTCTCCTCGTACCGCACAACTTAAATTTCAACAGCCTGACGTATCAAGCTCTCCTGGAACGACTCAAGTGAGAGTTAAAAAACCACCGTATCCCCTAATAATTCCTACCCCTCAATCCACCATGTCTGGAAGCAGGATAAAACTTAATGCTCCTTCACGAACTACAAAAACCGCTCAAAAACTAGTTTTACTTCCTGAAGAAGCCGATGTACCACCTAGTGAGCTTTCTGACTATGCTGAAACGCCTGTCACTCCTTTAGTTCCACACCCTCCAGTTAATAATGTTTATGATTCTACCGATGCTGAAAGAATGCCCAAAGAAAGTAGAGAAATCAACAAATATCCTAGGTATCTATACGTTTTTTAATGCAATTATTAAATAATAAATAATTTGATTAATCTTTTAATTAATCTTTTAATTTAATTGATCTAATTAAAAGGGCAACTGCTTATTGTACGGCTGAAGGTTATTATCTTAAAAAGTTGATGAGATTTTTGAGAGAAGAGCACAATGTTCAACCAATGTACCGTATCAATCATTGTACTTATATCTATTCATTTATATCTATATTCATTTATATCTATTTTTAGCTATTTTTATTCATTAATTTATTGTTAAAATTTATTACGTAGGTTATATGATGAATGTGTATATGCTCCTTACCATTTTCCATTGTTGAGAGGTAGAACTACAAATATTTCTTCTTCCACTGCAGTACATTCTCCAAATGGACATTCTTTTATGGAAAGGCAGATAGAAAATTTCGAAAATAATGAAGTAAATTCTTATTTTGTAATGTCTGAAAATGAAGATGGTTATGATAATGTTGGAATAAGTGATCCTTTACCAAAACCTACTCAAAATACTCTCACAAATATTGGTGAAGTTTTTTATTTTGATTATGGTGTAGTTGTATTTTGGAATATGACTGAAGATCAAGAACAAATGATTCTTGATGATCTTGCTATGTCAAATGTCTCGGTTCGTTTATTAAAAGATGATGATGTTGAGTGTGAGACTTTTCATTTTCAATATGATCTTAATTCCACCAGACAACCTAGAATTTTCAATGATATGATTACTTTAAAGTCTGATAATCATATGATTAAATTAACTATCAGTCATGCTATGAGTCAAAGTACAAAATTGACTTTATATGAATGGCAAATGGAAAATACTATCGATAGGACAAAACATATACCAAAAATGTTGGCTCAAACTGGCCGTTTGGATTTGTAAGTTTGCAAGTTATTGTTATTTAAAAAAAAAAGGGTTAAAAAAAAAAATTAAAAAAAAGTTGTGGTTTGTATATTTCCAGGAATCGAACTCAAGTCACAAAGTTAAGCGGTGAAATGTTTAAATTACGAATGAATGTTAACTTGGTATCCAATGTTTTAGGTAACCTTAGAAATTATTTGATTATTTTATAAATGTTTATTTAATAATAATATAATTATTATTTTTATTATTATTATTGTTATTATTATTGTTATTATTGTTATTGTTAATATTGTTATTCTTATTTATTATTATTCTTGTTATTATTAATTATTATTATTATTAATTATTATTATTATTAATTATTATTATTAGTTATTATTATTCTTTATTATTATTTATTATTACTATTTATTATTATTATGATTATTATAACGTACATATCATATATACTATATATTTCTTTATAGATACTCCTGAAATATTTTGGTCAGAGCCGTCTTTGGATCCACTGTATAGTGCTATTAGAGGTAATTCACTAGTACTTTATAAACATTATAAAGAAAAAAATTATTTAGAAAACATTATTAATGCTATTCGGTTCTTAGCATATCTTGAAATTTCTCAACGGGCTAAACTCCTTAATGACCGATGTAAAGTCATTAGCGATTTATTGGATATGTTGCGTGAAGATGTTGGTAGTTACAATATGACACGCATTACGTGGATTATAATCTGGTTGATTGTTGTGGCTGTTTTTGTAGCTATTGTAAGTATTTGTTTGATATTTTACAGTGTTGTCAATTGGACCAGGTAGACTTATTTTCAATTATTCCAATTCCTGGGTCAATTGACAACGATGAAGATTCTTGAGATTCTTAATAATGATTCGAATTTGAAAATATTTTGTATTTCTTTTCTTGTATAGGGTGAAATTGGCGTGAAAGTTTTACACTTTTATTAGTAATGATGGATTATTAACAACAATCTTTAGGTGAATCTTTTAGATGAATCTTTTAGATGAATCTTTTAACATTATAACGTCTCATGATGACATTACATTGACGGACACTGATGAACATTGACTTATACAATAGTAATCATTTTTTTTGGCAGTTCTTTTATCAATTTCTGTATTTAATTGGTATTTTGAACGTAAAAATAATTTCTCAAATGTATATATTTTTTGTAAATTCAAAAACTTAATATTGCATTATTTAAATTTATTGAGAACATAAAGGATAGAAGCAAAACTTATTGGAGATTGGGTTATGGTGCAGATTTGCGCCAATCATCTATCGCCACCTTCAGGATGATCAATACAGTATGATGTATTCATGCAACTACAATTTCTAATAAAAAGTTTCATAAAATTTATTTCAGTCAATCGCTCGCATTTTTAGGTTGCACGCATTTTTAGTATTCAATAATAAATGCTTTAAGGTGATGGGAAAAGATCACGTTATGTATGTGGCTTCAATGATATACTGATGAATATGCCAATATACCTAGCTGTGGTCTAGTCTAAAAGCTGAAAATTGAAATTACC